ACACCAGTGAAGTTTTTTTACAAACCAGTTCTGGTTCATCGTTTCATTCAACGATCCACTTTCGCTCTTCTCGTTCTGCGTCGCCGCCATGTGCGTATGAAAACAAAGGCACTGCGCATGCGCGTTTTACCCATATTCTATCGATATTTCATTTTCCTATCGTTGCCCAAAATTACACCGGTATCACCGTGAACGGTATGATATGGCCCCGCCCTAATTGTGGGAATTTCCTCCACTATCTGATCTGTGGGAATAAATTACCACTGGCCCTGTGCTCAAATCCTCCAGAGCTGTAATCCAGTAGCTTTGGGGGTAAATCATGTCTGAAGGTGTGCTGATGCCACCCTGGTACTCGAGCCCTGGTGAAACAACTGTCATGTGTAGTTTCTCTGAGGAGTTTGCAGTGAAATGAAAGGTCAGCTGATGGTGTGTTTGGACCTGCTGAGCGAGGCTGTGAAATGTTTGGCAGCTTAGACAGAGCCTGAAACTCCTCCAGCTCCTTCCCTTTGTTACATCTGTACAGAGCATGCGGCAAACACACTGCTGACTGTCAGCGTTACCAAGAAGTGAGTATCAAGCATATAAAACATGGCACCCTAAAGAAGGTGTGACTGTGTAAATACTTTGGGCTGCAGATCATCGTTCTGCAGAGCTGAGACACCAGAAGCTCTTTCAGTGTGGACGGATCGTTTTCCCACCTCAGTATCTGCACGTGTTCAAAGAAACAGACGCAGAAATCTGCTTTTGGGGCGGCTGTGGCTCAGGAAGTCGAGCGGGTGATCTGGTTGTCAGAAGGTCGTGGTTTGATACCCGGTCCGTACGCTGTCTCTGGGTGAGGTGCTGAACCCCGATACCAGCAGTACTCTGAGTCAGTACTCGCCCACTTTCAGTTACACTGCAGCTTATGAGCTACAGCAGCACGATAATATTAATATAAGAAACCACAGACCCCGCCCCTCTGTATGATGCAAATAAACATGGTGAATGTTCATGTTCTTCTTTCAAGCTGAAGGTTTGGCAGGTTTGTTTAATCCAGTGTGAAACATCTGGACTGTGAGCTCATTTCCCAAAAATCTGTGACTTTTGCTTCTAACGGTGTTGTTCTGGATGCGAACCCAGCGGAGGCAGTGGCGCTTCTTTAGAAATCCTGCGTCTCCAAGCTCTTCCCGACACGTTTGAATCTTTGTGCCAAACGGCTCCTTCAGCCTCTAATCGCCTCCTCCGTGTGTCTGCTGGATCTTTATTCCATCGCTGGACCCGGGCAGGTCCAGATGTTCACATGAGCCAGTTTTACTGAGTTAGTCTGAGATCTGAGTCGCAGCACGAGCTCAGCTTTCACTTTGTATCCAGAAATGATGAGCTGCGTGTTTGCATGAACGAGCTGCGTGTTAGAAGAGACCGCAGAGCTTTGACAGACTCGACCTTCTTATCAGGGTCATCAGCAGAAAATGTCTGAACTGGAGTTTAAAAGTGGGACGGAAGTGATGTTTAGGATGCACAGAGGGACTAATGAACGACGGGATCCAGCTGGCTTTTGGGAAATTGAACATTTCTTCTACTTCTTTGAAAGTTTTTCTCAGGAACTTTCAGGATTTAGTCGAGCCTGTGCAGACAGATTGAGGCTAATCTGACAGTTTGCAGTGAACAAAGGAAAGTTTAACATGACGTCAGAAGTGTTGTGCGTCTTTTTAGAAAGAAGCAACAGCCGTGATGGGAAACTGATGCTGCCTGGGTGCAGCAGATAACACTGTTGCTTTAGAGACGACCGGTCTGTGCTGGGTGTTCACAGGGGTGGAGGCGGGCGAAGCTCGCCTCTGTCACGTTGGATGCTTTTCGTTTTTGACTCTCTGGTTCGGGTAAAAACGAGAAGAAGCTCGATGGTGTGCTGTGGTCAAATACAGCAGCAACCCTGCACAATGAAAGCAAAGCTAAATGCTGAGCGGCTGTAATTTGCACTGTGAGCCCAACACAGGCGACATCAGTCTGTTTATTGTTCACAGATGTGAATTTGTGTGAAGCCGTGTGGGTGTTATTTCCACCGTTTCCTGTTTTTTCCCCTCTTTACGGAAAAGTGCAGTGTGACATCACAGATTAAACATGGACGTTAATAACACAGAAAGAAGAAGAAAGGCGGGGTGTCTGTTTGGACATCAGCAGTCGGTGAGGAGGGGAACTGTGATGATCCACATCTGTTTTCACAAAGAAGGTCTGGGAGAGGAAGGAGACCCCCCTCCTGACCTCTTGGCTGATAAAAGAGGCCCTCGGTCTGACCCACACAGTCAGGATGTGTCTGCATGGAAGCACATGTTAAATATTCTCTTATTAGTAAAAAGAGGCGAATCTCCTCATATTTAATATCAACAATGAAATAACTGCGCCTGGTCCGAGCTTACCGGGCTCAAGTCCTCAATATTCAGTAAGCCTGTTTTTCAGGAGCAGCCAATGGGATGTGACTGATGGCGGAGCCCCTCCCTGCTCCGTTGGTATTTTGAGCACTGCTTCAAGGAGCACGTAAACACAGCGGGCCTCGTTCACGACCAGCGTGAGCGCAGTAATGTGCGATTCATCGCCTCTTTCTCACCTGACCCCGACGTGATCTGGCGGCGTTCACAGAGCCTCTGTTTTTGTTTTGGAGTAAAGCTCCGTGGGGTTCAGGTCAGGGGTCTGTGCTGGAAAGTCCTCTTTGTTCTTCAGATATTGAGGTGTGTTTGCTTTGCTTCAGTTTCCTTCTGCGTAAAGATCAAACTGGAGGCTGGACTGATGGTTCTCCCGCTTCTCCCGGCAGCCACACTCGAACCAAGATTCATCAACAAGCTTCGAACTCTGGGAAAAACCCTTCGGTGTAATTAACGTCACTCAGCACATTTGTTGCACACCCTGGTTGATCAGGAAGAGGAAACAAGAAAAAGGGAGCTAAAGCTAATGCTGCAAAGGCCACAGATGAGGAAACAATTATTAGCCCACCAATGAAATTCAAAGTTTAGTCTAAATTCTCCCAAGTGCTTTTTTAAGACGGAGGAATTTTCATCGCTGTAAAGGATCAGTTATCTCAGTTTGTACATGATAACAAAATCATTTCAGGATAAACTAAAATGACCAAAGTCAATATTTTTAGTCCCTTAACGAGTGGGAGGAGTCTCTGCAGATTCTGCAGCTGAAGCCTCCTTTGGTCCTTCTTTGTTTAACTTGCACCAAATCACAACAACAGTCGCCTCAAGGAGCTTTATATTGTACAGTAGACCCTACAATAATATACACAGAGAAACCCAACAATCATATGACCCC